TCAGCTTTTAAAGTCATTTGTCTACAGGTCAAAGCAAAGACGACACATTTGTTAGCGAAACTCTTGAGCTGCAGAAAATTATGACAAGTTTAAAGACAGCAAATTATAGACAAAAGCATCAGAGTAAAGGCAGCAGATGTTCCCTCCAACCATCTGTCTCCTTCAGATACTGTACTCCTAAGTAGTTTGTCTTCATTTGTGTGCTACATCAGCAGGCTATTAGAAGAGATTTGCCCTGCTTGCACACACACACGCAGTGAATGGATTTTCATATGAGACTGTCCACATTATGTCACAGGTCACCAACTGTAAAAAGGGACTTGATCTTATGCCTGCGGCTGCAATTACTTTGCAAATGCAGGAATCTCAGGGAAGAGCCTGCTTCTGGATTACAATCTAAGCTTGTTGTAATCTTTGCTTTTTACTAATATGTTCAAAGGAAGTCTGGACTATAATTTGCCATTTGTAATGGATAATGTTGCAGGCAGAGCTTTGTAGAAGGGGAGGAGCGATGAGTTTGGAGTGGCAGCACAGAGGGGACAGTTTAGGAGTTCAAATGAAGGAAAACAAACAGTGCCATGGGTTTCTATTGTCTCTGTGGGAGTGCAGAGGATGGACCCTTTCATCAAGGTGGCAGCACATCAGAAGAGCCGGCAGAGGGATGTACACACTTCTCACCCAAGGAGCCCCAAATGCAACAAGATTATGAAGATTTGATATATCCGCTGGGAGGCGAAACACGGTGGCTACATATCAAAAGCCAGGATTAGTTGCCTTTTCATTTCATCTCCTCTGGCCTTGCCTCGACCATGAGGCTAGAGCGCGGGCGGCGGGCTTCTCTGGCGCTCACCCTCAACTTTGTGGCGTTTGCTTTTGCCTTATCCGCGGTGACCACCAGCTACTGGTGCGAGGGGACCAGGAAGGTGGCCAAACCCTTCTGCACAGGCCCACCGGTGAACAAGAAGGAGTGGTACTGCATCCGCTTCAACAGCACCAACCTCAACGACAGCCGCCAAGTGCAGTACATCTTTGAGACGGGGGAGGAGAAGTTTCTGATGAGGAAGTTCCACACGGGGATATTCTTCTCCTGCGAGGAGGCGGCCGACATGAACGGTAAGATGACCCTAAGCTCTTCAGCCCTTTAGCTTTGGGGCTGCAGACGTTCAAAAACAGGAAGAGCTAATGGAGGAAGCAGCTCCTGTAAACGCACAAGACAGTCTCTCAAGTTAATCTACAGCTTATAAATGTCAACCCAGTTACTGGAATCGCACCATCTGGAGGCAATCTCTTGAGTCATTTAAGGTCAGTTATGTATAATGCACAGATAAGGTGAGATAAACAGCTGCAAGTGTGCTTTGGCACTCGAGTAAGCTGGGTTAAATTCTCTTTAGGTCTAAATTCAGCACATTGTAGCTAGATTTCCTGTTGTTTTATGGCTGTGTATAGGGAAATAGCATTTCAAACAGTGCAGTATTGTTCTTAAGTAATATTTTGGGTCATTATGACCAATAATAACGAATGAAAAAGCTACACCTGTGGAGGGGGTAAGGTAGTACACGAGGAAAATGAAAAAGACAAAGTACAGATTAGGATTAAAGCTGTGACATGCTGCATGCAGGTACTGCAAAAAGGTCCTTCATGTTGCATCATAACTACAGCTTTCTACTTGAGGTCAAAGCTAAATCTCATCAAGCGAAACATAAAACCTAATTACAAACGTGTACATGCTTTCCACAGGAATCGTACTGACAGATAAGCAGCAATCTGCCTGGTATGGAGGAAGAAAAAGTACAAATGTTTTCAAATAGAAATAAATTTCACTATAAAAATTTCACGTTACAGGACATGTACGGTGTATGAAAGTGTCATTGTTACAGAGCAAAATATACCAAACAGTAAAGCTTCCAGATTACAGCCATTGCTGTTGCATGCAAGCCGCCCCAGTTGGTTTCATAAGCTCTGGTAATAAATCTCAGAAAAATACATTTTTATAAGGATTTGCATGCAACTAAGAGCCAAATTGTCTACTGATTTTCACCAATATGATCAGAGCACAAGAGTCAGTTCCTTGGGAGCTCCAACACCAAGGTGCCGTATCACCAAAAAAATATCATCAGATGCTACAATCAGTTTTATATTTGCGGCTGCGGTGCAAAGATGTTTGTGGACTCACATTATATCAAAATATACTTTTAAAAATATATAATATTCAAAAGTCATGACTTCTTGTAAAAAAAATACTTTACTATACTGAGTGCACTTAATTCTTTTTATTGACAATCACAACAATTTGCATAGCTGATTGAACAAATAACCATGAATGTGAGATTTTCTTACAGATACACATTTTAAAAAGAATTCCATATTAAATCTGCAAAGTTTGTAGAACATTTTCTGCTCAATTTGCATAAAAAGTTTATGGTCCAAAGTTTGGCCATATAAAATGACTGCTATGAAATTTTAGTTCCATCTATACAAAACTTTTTTTCTTGTATTTGTCCAAACTGTGCATAATGAAATTTACAGCAAACGGGAGATGGTCGAGCAGAACGGCCACGTTGATTTGAGCTGGAATGACCCAGGAATGACAACTGATGCTGGGGATTGCAGCTTTTAAGGGTGTTTTCATGATTAGTGTCAAAGTGGATTCTTCTACATAAGAAAACTTACTTTTTCCCCTTTTTTTCAGGGTTTGAATGTCGAGAATTCTCAGATATTGCACCTGAAAATGAAAGAGGTTGGTGAGATTTTTCTATTTTTAACTGTCTTTTGATTTCTTAGAGTTTTCTGTTACCTTATGGGTACTTTGACCTAAAGAGGATAACATAGATTGCATATAAAAGATGGACATAATTCCCACGATGTCAACCATTAGTTCATAAAGGCCCGCTCGGGAATCTCCAATTTTGCCATTTTGGGGCTTCAAAACATGTGAATAAGAAGACAAGGATGCTGCATGGTCTTAGGTATCTATGCCCGTCTTTAGTTTCTATTTGATGCTTAACGGGACGATAATTTACAAAAGCAACATGACTTTGTATCAAAGAAGATTTTAAACTAAAAACATTGCCATAAACTAAAACTAAATGTAAATTACATGGACTTGTTGTTGACCTGTTGTTATTCCAGTTTTAACTGGGTTCATTTAATGCAGCTCAGGAGTTCAGGGTGGGTGTGGGGCACGAAAAAACACTCGAGTCTCACAACGACAACAACAAACATTATGTCTCTGTCTCTAAACCAAGACACAGTCTTACACTTACATGTGCTGTGAATGCCTCAAGATGATTTACAGTATTTGACATGCTTGATATCGAAGTATCAGTGACTTTCTAAATATGTTATTCAACATTATTTCTAATAATGCTATAAAACTTAACGCAGTTTCAGTAAAATGTTTGGGAAAGGGCCTTCGACTACACTCATACTGAGAAATCTTACCTTTGCTAGTCTTGCTTGTAAGGAATCTGGAATTAGCAGCTGCTGTCCTGATTTTATAAATCCATGCAGTCTAGACAGGCTCGTTCAGATCTCCAGACATAAAATGAGCAGACCTGTTGTACATGCATGCTCGTCTGCCTTTAGACACGCAGGATTATGCTTCCTCCCTGTTTTTGTTTGCTTTTTGTATTCACAGGAGTGCTGTGGTTGTGTATCGTGGCGGAGACCCTGTACCTCACCCTGCTCTTCGCCGGCGGGGCTCTGATGACTCTGGAGCAGTGCCCCTGCTTTAGTGTCATGAACAAACTGAAGCTCAGTGCCTTTGCTGCCATGTGCACTGCCCTGTCAGGTAACTCTGCATAATGACCTCCAGTGCAGCTTATAAAAACATTCCCCTTAAGCATTTATGCCTCTTTACTTTTAATTAAACCTTTAAACAATTTTTTGGTTTTTTACTGATAAATGTTCTGTAAATGGATGTTGGTGGGACGTGTTTATTAAAGCCAACAGTTGCTCATAAGAGGAGTTATAGCTGCTGACTGCTTAAATCAACTTTATCCTAAACCCGTGATTAAATCTTTAAATACTAAACAAGGAGAGACTTAAAGTATAGAGCCTTTAACATCGACAAGAAACGTGGAGATAAATTATAGGTGAAGCTTGTGTGGCGGTAAATAAAAGCAGCGGGGCAGCAGGTCATGGCGGCTGGATGAGATGAGGCTGACAGTGAGCGAGCGCTCGCGGCAGCTAACTGCTCTGCGTCCACTCGCTGCCTTGGAGGATTTGCTGGTTTCTGGACTAATCCGATTGAAGCCGGGGCTGCGGTTTTGGACTGCGCCAAGACCTGCCCAGAGGAGCACCCTCCCGCCCCCTCAACTCCCCCCCCATCCCCCGACTCCCATCCCCCCCTGTTGTTATTAGTTAATCCCAAGAAAAGCAGCTGTGAAGGGGCCGGCTGCTGATTGAGGGAGAGCCTGGATCAGGCAGGCCAGTCCACCTCACCCAGAGTCAGTCAGAAAATCACGTATGCGTTGTACAGGGATGTTTCAGGCGTCGGCGGTCACTACAGTCAGTTAATGTACTCTTTTTATGTTTTACAAATGTGGAGTTTATAATGTCTTTTACTGCATGTGATCGTTTCTCACAAATCATAAATACAATGCATTGCCAAAAGTATTCTCTCGTCTGCCTTCACACGCATATGAGTTTCAGTGACATCCCATTAATCCATTAGCTTTATGATGTTAGCCCACACTTTGCAGCCATAACGGCTTCAACTCTTCTGGTAGGCTTTCCACAAGGTTTAGGAGTGACTTAATGGGAATTTTGACCATTCCTCCAGAAGCACATTTGTGCAGTCAGACACTGATGCTGGATGAGAAGGCCCGCCTCACAGTCTCCACTCTAATTCATCCCAAAGGTGTTCTATGAATTAGGTCAGGACTCTGTGCAGGCCAGTCAAGTTCTTCCACACCAAACTCACTCATCCATGTCTTTATGGAGCTTAGAGGATAGAATAGAATTGAATG